GACCTTAAGCTTTTATGGAGGGGTGCATGTGCATCCTGTGCTCCCCCTGTTTACGGCCCTGCCTTTATYCACTAAAAATTCCACTGGAATCGGGTCGCATTGGCCGGCCTGGGCGAGCGGTATGTTTAGTTTTGGTTCTCTTACTGCATTTTTAGTGTGTTTTAGTTCCTTCTAGTTTCATCTTCTTTGCTTTGATCCGTACGCTGGTGACACGAATGGGAAACGTTTGCGCATGCGTGCACTTCAGCACGTTTTGTAAGAGTTTGAGTGAGAAAATAAATGTTTGTTTTCTCCAAGTATACATAAAAATTTGGCGAGTATACTTTTGTCAGACCAAGATACTGTATTAACAAACATAATATGTATTTTCGCATTTTGTGAAGTTCAATTTACCAGGCATGTTTGAAAGTCAAATTTACATATGTTTTGAGTAATTTGCATACGGATTCAGGGCATGCGCAGACGTTTTTCACTCGTGTCTGCGCCGGTTATTCCTTCCTTCCTCTTCTCTTCCGTTTCTCTCTTTTTTCTTCAATGCGGTTTGTCCTGGAAAACTGAAAACAATTTATTAACAAAAAGTCTGATAACTAAACAGTTTAGTACGTTTTGTTTGTCTGAGTCGGTTAGGTATAGTATGTGCATGGCATCATCATGTAGCTGCTGACAGGATTCCACATACATATCAAAGATTCGATTCAAGTCATGAGTCGTTTCAGTTAACAGGCTATTTTTACAGTTATTATATTAGTTTTAAAATCTACATCTCCCTAGCCTCGTAGTTGCGTCAAAATGAACCCTCACAGATTGAAAGAGATCTTAGATCAACTCATTATTTTATAGAAAATGAAATTGATGGCAATATATATATTGAACTGAACAGAGAAAACAATTTCTAAAGTCATTCAATAGACAGTAAAATTCTAAAATCATCTCGTTTACGGCACAAATATTAAGCGTCAGTTGACAAGCAAAAAAATTCTTCGGAATTAATGAAAAGAACTAGTAGAGATAAATAAGACTCGTGTTTGACTAAAAAAATGCAAAAGATAAAATAAAATGCAATTGGGGGGAAGAAAAAACACTTAATCTATCTTTTCACTTAGCTATTTTAGGCAACCAGGTTAAAGCGAAATAGCGYTACTCCGACTAAATATAGGCGACACGTTCGAATATGGCATGCGGTCGAAGCAATCGCTAAGAACTTCCTTTAGCTTTAGAGCACGAGGGCTTTGCTTTGAGTTTAGTATCAAGAAGCGAAGATCAAAAGTCGCATGCAATTCCGTTTGATTGGCGTGAAGCAACCATGGAAATCTCCCTCAACGTCATTATATGGTTGATGATTTTGCTAAACACAAACCTCCCTATTTCTGGGTGCCGTTTTGGTTGTGATTCTGGCCAGGCGTGTTGTGGCTATCGATGCGTCGATGCTTCTGACTGTAGTGGACAATCCTGCGTTAGGGCTTCTGATTGCTCCATAGGCCAAAGCTGTTGCAACGAAAAGTGTTTGAATATTGGCTCGTTTTGTGCTGAACAGTCATGCTTATCTGACCTAGATTGCCCAGCTGGACACGCTTGCTGTAGAGAAAAGTGTGTACGCGGTTCGGACTGCAAAGGTCTGTTTTGCAACAGATATAGTGATTGCTCAAAAGGCCAGCTTTGTTGCAACAAGAAGTGTTCAACCGTTTCCTACTGTGATGAGAAGTTCCAGTCTTGTATAATTAACGACGACTGCTTTGCAGAACAAGTTTGCTGCCATGATAAATGTGTGAACGGTTCTGATTGCAGAGCACAGTCTTGTGAATATGATTCTGATTGCTCTTCAGAACAGTCTTGCTGCAACCATAAGTGTGTGGATGATTCTGATTGCAGAGGAAAGTCTTGTCATACTAAATTTGATTGTTCCACAGGACAAGCTTGCTGTAATGATACGTGTATCTATGGTTCTAGCTGCATAGGAAGGTCTTGTGATACTGACTTAGACTGTTCTGAAGAAAATTCAGAAGCTTGCTGCAATAACAAGTGTGTACCATTTTCGGACTATGAAGGATCATATTGCGACACTCACTTAGATTGTGCTTTAAGACAAGCTTGCTGCAACCACATGTGCGTCCATGGTTCTGTGAATGACTGCGCAGAACAGTTTTGTGCTGCTGACTACGATTGCCCTAAAGGAAAAGATTGCTGCAACCATAAGGGCGTCGATGGTTTCAAGTGCAATACAACAACTTCAAAAATGATGACTTCTCTACTGATTATACTCCTTACAGCATTTACATGCATTATTTGTGTTGTCGCAGTAATATATTTGTACAACAGAAAACGAAAGAGGCTGGCAAAGGCAGCGGACAGTGAAAGAGATGAAACTCCTTTGGTCGACACCGACCATACGGCAGAACAATCGGTTTAAAGTGCAAATGAACCCTTCAACAATACTTTCAGTACTGATTCTACATGAAGTGAATAGTTGAATCGTAAAATATTTCTTGATTTGAGTGATGCGTCTCTAAGTTATGAAGGTTTATTTGAGCTTGAGGTGAATAATTGTTTCAGTATAAATACACAGGTGATTCTTTCAAAAAAATACGAAAGAAGAAGTTAATGTCGTTTTATTCATTTATTTATTTATCTTTTTTCTTTTTACTTTTTAAAGTTTTATTGTAAAGTACTTTATAACGATAAAAGGGATTCTCGTGCAATGCCAAGCAGAATAAACAATAAACATATATTTTAGATAGTGGTATTTTAACTTGTTACTTGTCATGGTGAATTTATTAAGAGCTAAAACATCGATCGTGACCTGTGCATAGTCAATGTATTTTTGATTTGTTTCTACAGGCAAAATTCACCCTCATCATTCCCAAAAACGTCTTTTGACTTACTGTCTTTTGACTTACTGTAACTTACTTTCACAACAAGCCGTTGAAATGTCCGAGTTCGCAAAAAATCGAAAACCGTAGTAACTAACAGTCCATTCTCGTACCCAAGGCTTTCTCAGCTTTCTATAATGAAAAATCGATTTTTTGAAAGGTCTGGGCATGAGAATGCTAACAGTCAGAATAATTTCAACGTATTTTGTTATTTTTTCTAAGCAATTGTCTTGACACTGAAAAGGGAAACAACAGCAAAGCAAGCGAAACAACGTTACCTCAAACAAAGAGAGTAAACGATTTTTTAGGTCATAGAAATAAAATTAAAAGGATAAATAAATAAATAATAATAAGGCTAGTTAAGGATCGTGTATTCAATTTTTAAATGATAGGGATAGGACCGTAGAAAGCAAGGAAGATTACCATGTTTTGACACAGGAAAACCATGATACAGTATAAATTTCTTACCATCGAAAAATCTGTCACCAGCTAGGCCAACGCGAAAGGAAGAAAAAATAATCACTATGTTTATTTTCGAAAAAGAAAAAGAAATTAAGTTGCAGCAGAGCAAAGGAGGTCTTAATTTTGTAATATAAGAATTTTCTTATTAATGCTAATTCTGAACAAATTAAAATATYATGAATTAAGCTGCAGCGCAAAGGTCATTCGGTATGTATAGGAAATACCAACCGCACTCGTGGTAAAAAGCCACTTTCACCAAATGCGAAGGCATTTCATGACCTACCCCCCCCCCCCCCCCCCCCCCCCCCCCCCCCCGCCTCTGACTTGACCATTTCTCTTAATTACATACTTTGACAAGCAATGGGGACTCCCTATATTTATCTGAGAGGCAACGGAAATTCTACATTTTGACGTTTTGACATTTTGACATATATTTACTTCGCAATTGTCCGCGAATGTTCTTAGCATTGGAAACTTCCTACGTATATCTGAGAGACAACGGAAATTCTAAGGTCCTTTACTGAAGCAGGTGTACCTCGATACGATACGCCAGATCAATCATGGCAGTGAGAACTCTCTTGGTATTGGCATTGATTATGGTAAGCGTATGTCGCAGTCATGATAAGTGTTTGGATAGTTCTGACTGCGAAGACCATTCATGTAAGAGTAATTCAGATTGCTCCGCTTTGGGTAGGGTGTGCTGCGATAATAAGTGCTCAGATGGCCAAAAATGTGTTGGACAGTCATGTATTGTCGACTCAGATTGCTTCCAAAATCAACACTGCTGTGAACATAAATGTTCCGGCGATGCCATATGTGGTATCAAAAACTTCACATTGGTTATAGCTCTTGTTGTATTTGGCCTTGCCGCCTTCATAATCATGATCTTGATCGTGATCATAATTATTGTCAAGATATTGTGCAGTACTGATCGTGAATGACAAACTCAAACCAACTTTATATGATCTTATATCTACGTGGGACCAGATTCACCAAGGCATGCAATATCCGCGTGTATAACAACTTTACAGCAACAATTTTATGGAGCCATAGGGCAACCTAATGCATGGGCGTATAGTCATACAGGAGTGTCTGTAGATGACAAATGAGCTAGTCAGGCTTATGTAAAGAGCCATAAAATGTAAAAAATGCTAGTGTGGCAGACGGACTTTCTCATACAGTGGATCAGTTCTTTGGAATTATCTCTCCCTCCCTTCTAAATCTTACAAGCTTTCCATCAAATCTTTCCTTTTCTAACTCTTTCTAAATTCACAGCTAGAACTTGATTCCTTTATTATATTTCAAACGTCAATTTTGATTTGATCAATTGTAATTTTCAATTTCATATATCTATTTCAGTATGATGTAGTTGAATCGTATATTGTAATCATTAATTTAACTTTCATGTTGTAAGCCAAATTGGAAACCATGCAGTTATTAATTAATTTTGTACTGAATTTTTCTACTCAATTAAAATAGCTCACTATTTAAAAACATTTTTTATATTTTAAAATTAAATTAAAAACACTATAACAGGAACAATCGTTTTGACTCGTAAATAAGAACCTGTAAATGTTAAGAACGAGGGAAAATATATAGTGGTTTCTCGTGCATATATGCCACTAGAGAACCTGGGGRAAAAACCCTCCTGACAAAATAGTTGTGAGTTCATGAGATTTTTTTTTGTTTTTTTTTTGTTTGTTTTTGTTTGTGATGTATCGTGTTCTCTACTCATAGAGAACTTGGTTGTTTACGGAGGTGTATCATAGTACGTTGCAGAGGCGGATCAAGGAGAGGAGTACAGGGGGTGCGCACCCCTCAATGGTTCCACTTTGTGCCCCTACTTCGAAGATAATCAATACTGTTTTTTCCCTTTGATTCTAATTGGTGCACCCCTCCCTGGGTTAACTTTGTGCGCAGCACCCCTCCCTGAACACAATTCTGGATCCGCCCCTGTTAATGTCATAAGCTCTGTTAAATAATTAATAAATTAAAAATGACACAGGTATCCCAAAGTGTCATTTTTTCCCAATCAGCTTTTGAAAGGTTATATCCTAACATATAACAATCTCAGCAACTGGGATTAACTAGAACCTAACCGGCATCGTTTGCATGTTTATTACACCAGTCTCCTACACGGTCTTTTGGGTTTGCGAATAAAGATTCAAGGTCACGCGATATTGTTAAATGCTTAAAATAAATAGATTACGTCATCCCATATGTCATTTCCGTACACGATTGCAGAGCGAAACTGGGAAGGAGCTCGCAAGTATAGATTTACATGCAAGAATCGCAATTAATATTTGCAAGACTCATTACGAAAGAGATCGATCGACCATGGGATTGAGAATTCTTCTGCTTTATACCCTCTTCTCAGTAAACTATTTCTGCACTTCAGCGATGTTCTGTGGTTGTGATTACGACCAAGTTTGCTGTAACGGCTTATGTCTTTACGGCTCAAACTGCTTAGGAAATTACTGCTATTCGGATTCCGATTGCTCTTTCGGCGAAGTCTGTTGTGGTAGTTCTTGTTCAGATAGCTGTAGCGACAACGTGGGCGTTATAATTGGAGCTGTTTTTAGTATTATATTTGGCATATTCTTGTTCTGTGTGATCGTCATTTGTTGTCGCCGAAGGCAAACAGTCCGAACAGTGCAACGTCCTATACTTGGGCAAAGAGTGATCGCCCGAACTACGACCACCACGACAACACGGAATTACAGACGAGTACCCAACTATCCTCATCAAGGACCTTATCAAGGACAACAGCCCTATGGCTACCAGCAAGGATACGTACGACCACCGCCGCAATATCCTGGATATGGAGCTACAAACCCAATTGCAGGGGCCTACCAAAGCGGAAGTAATGCTCCGCCACCAATGTCTGTCGCTCAACCTCCCCCTTATGAAGAAGTTCCTGCGGTAGTAGCGATGGGGAACGGATGTACAGATCAGAAAAACAATTATCCACAAGCCTCTGCACCTTCTATGTAGAAAAACGTCAGAACATCAAACAAAGAAGGGAGAAACACTTGTATATACTGTGTATATTGCGTTTTTGATGCTGTAATTTGAGACATATTTGACGTCATGAATGAAATTAAACACAGATTTTTCACTGAAAAGATCCATGAAATGGAAGCCAGAGCTTCATGTTAACATTAGAACAATCATTAAGATTTTTTTCATTTCATCAATTTTATAAATTTGATTTATATGTGTATGTAAATTATCCATTTTTTGAATAGGAGTAGCTAATATTCCCATTTCGAGTTTATTCGCCATTGCTCTGTCTTAGCCTCGATTATGTGCTGACGGGTTTGTTCTTTGTTTTGATTAAGGTACACTGCATAGTAAGGAATGTAAATGCTATGGATCAATAGAAGTTGATTAAATTGCAACAGATTTTGGTTGAATAGATAATACTATAAGGCACAATCAAGACTAAAAGGCTGACCAAAGAGGACTCGAAACTGGGTATTAAGGTACAAGCTTTGATATAATATAAGAAAAAATATGACAAAAGGCATAATCACATACATGTGTCCACCCACTTTCTGCAATGTGGCTGGTTGAGACAAGAGCTAGGATATGATCTTTGTGGTTGAAAAAATTTGTACAACATTATTGCCTTGATGTAATATATAGAGTATGAGTGGCCATGTTGTATCTGATATACGAACTCGAGGCGTAGCCGAGAGTTTGTATATTGGATACAACACGGACACGAATACTATAGATTACTTATCAAATGTCTAGGTTAGTTCCTTTGTGTTTCCATAAAATTTTCAAGATAAAAGTGAATCTGGCCAAGAAATTCCATCTTAAAGTTTATGCAAATGAACAGGATTCTGTATCTGATTTACAGAACTCTACACGGTCGTGATTTCTGTTGTGTTTTCCTCATKAATTATTAATGAGTTTAATAATGAAATATACGATGTTCAATTTTCTATTAAAGTCGTAAAGTATTTTACTATAGATTATATCAGTATCTTGTTATTTGTTGCTGGTTTTGAAGGAGGGCATGTATCAGCTGAATCTTTATTTACGTTTTTTCCTCATTATAAAAAAAAATTCAAGCTACAAGCAAACTGACTCCAGAAATCGAAAGAGAATGTCATATTTAGTAACTACTGAAAAGCACACACAACCATACATTTCTTTGTATTTATAGTGTTTTCAAACATTTTGCTCCCAAAATATTGAACATGTTACTCTCAAAATTTCAGTAGTTACTAAACAAAACATTCTTTTTCGATTTCTGGAGTCGGTTTGCTCGTAGCTTGAAAAAATATATATGCTAATGAGGAAAAAACGTAAATAAATATCGGCCTGTAGTAAAAGAGAGGCGATCAAAAGTGTCCTTGTGCCCTACCGGCCCAATATCCTCCTCAGTGACTTGTGAACCGAAACATACTCTATATGGTCATTCTTTCAACTTGTCATCATCTTCATGTGCTAATGATCAATGTTGATCATACATTGTAGTAGAGGAGGTTCAAACTAATACCCCCAAATGGCAGTTCTGTTTTTCCATGGTCTTCCTCTTAGCCTAGCTGTGTACAAACACTTCCCACCCCTTCCCCTATGGGAGCTTCCTCCCCATGGCTTCTCCCACCACCCAGTATAATTTTCAAAGAGCAGGAATTTACTGACCACTAATTGCTTTTCAAGGCGCGGGAATGAAAATCGAGAACCTTAATTTCAAGATTTTCAGGGAGTGAGAGCGTTCCTACAAGCAAACCGTAAGTTCCGCGATCGCCTGGACGGCTTAAAAGGTGGCTGGACCCCTCACGCTTGACCGCTACCTTCCACTTTTGGAACGCTGGTGCATAAACGTGTTTGATCCGATTGCAAATCTTTTTTGCACATAAGTCACATAAAGATTGAATTAATGTTTGATACAATTTTTAGTGAGATCGGACGTCATAACAYGTGATTATGATGAAATATTTGTTTTCGTTTAGAAAATAATTTTAGCCTTGCAGAGCGTTCAACACTAAAATGCTTCGTACCACATAATTATATACTAGATGCCTCCATTTGTAGGGATTTTTGAAAAAAAGTGGATTTTTTTCCAAAAGTGGAAGGTAGCGGTCAAGCGTGAGGGGGTCCAGCCACCTTAAACGTACGCACTCACGCTGCTGTTAGCACGTCACAGTGTAATCACGCGGTTACGCTCTAACATTACAGCTTCCGTGTTTTCAAAACGAAAGTGACTCCATGATTTTTGACGAACCAAGCATGGCTTTTAAATTTTTTCTTTTCCTTGGAGCCTGCCTTATAGGAACTGGATGCGTTTTGGCTGATGATGACCGGTGCAGTTATAGTTCTGCGTGTAAACTGAATCATGTCTGCTGCAATTATCAATGTGTGTATGGCACAGACTGCGCTGGAAGAACGTGTAGTGTTCCCTCAATGTCAGACCAATGTTCAGGGATGTTGTGTTGTGATGATGGGTATTGCCAGTACATGTGYGATGATAATACCATTCCTATGATAATCGGGATCGTTGTAGGTGTGTGCTTCTTCATCTTCATACTTAGCATCATCATATACTGCCTTTGTCGAAGACGATATTACAGTCCAAGAGGAGGCTACATCATAACGCCTTCCCAAGGACAGATTTATACGACTACTACCGCGGCTCATTTTACCCAGGTACCGAATTATACCACAGAACAAGCTTACAGTCAACAGTGCTATGGACAGGCAAATCCTCAGTACGGCTACGGAGCAATCTGAACAACCCTTTAAAAAAATGCCTAGATAGTAAGGGATAGTATCAAGCTGATTCTACTACTAGTAAGGGACCGATCATCAACCATCGCAATGCTTCAAACATCTTTATTTATATCTTAGAGACTTTTATATACACAATATATAACATTGTTATAAATATTGTGTATATGTCTGGAAAAGTTTGAGCAAGATTAAGATCACTATTAAATATTTAGAACAGATATCTATAAATAGATAAATATAATTTAGCATTAGTTTATGGAAAAATTGCTAGTCAGAATGCAGCTCAATATTTGGAGGACATAACAATAGGTTTCCAATTCTCATGAGATTGAAATTCTTTTTTGGCCTCCAAATTGAGCTGCTTTGACTTACAACTTAAAAAGCGGAATTAGATTATTATTATTATACTTAACATAATGATTGAGCTCAAGGAACGAGTTTAGAGTAATTTATAAATAATTGAGTGCAGATTTTGGCAAATATTTTCAAAAGCCATGTGTTAGCAAAGTTTGTGCACTGTTTTCCATATYGGATTATGCACATTTTTATCAGTGGGAATTTCATTGTCTATCAGGGTACACACTGTAGCCTCTCAATCAAGTATACATAAAGTATATAAACAAAGAAATCATACTTAAGAGAAAAGCAGTTGATTTGAACAGGAAAAAACTACACCTAATGACTTTCTCTAAAGTCAATGTGCACCAGCACGAATCTCTAGCACAAAGCATAATGGAAAACCGAGTACTACACAAATAAGAACAAGGCAATTGATAAAAACAACAAGAAAGAAAAAAAAAAATACTCTATTATTTTCATCTGTTGAAATACTTACAGTTTCATAGAAAATGTTGAAGGAAAAATTATCAGAGGGAGTTTTAGAGGAGCTGAAAAACCTTAAGTACTGTAGAGATTCGTGCTCATTGACTATCATTAGTATCTAGTTAAATTTGCCATGAATTCATAAATACTTGCAATTATAAAAAGAATCACCTTATAAAGTGTTGGAATGTTGCAACAAAGCTAAAACTTGGCAGCTGTTTTATCATACATGTAACTCTGTTTAACAGAAAATAAAGAATTTAGTTTAAACTAAGTAAAGGTTTTGACCTGTATTTCAGATACATTAATTAAAATTTCATGTATTTGCTCTTAATATYGAAGTATGTATAGATAAGTAAAGAACAGGTGCATGTTACGTCATTGCCGCCATCTTGGTTGAGGTAACAAAGCATTCCTCATTAGCTTCTCTTGTTAGATCAACCAACATGGCGGTTGTTTCATTGTTGTTCATATCTCGAGGGATTTTGAGTCACATGGTTGCACACACTATATTGTCAGCATCTCTTAAAATTTTCTTGAAAATTTTGCAACGAACACAGCCCTTGGCATTTGGGTTTTTTGTGAAAATTATGAAAATGGGTAAAAAAGTTTGTCAAAACCTAAACATCCCCTCACCCTGCTAATTCATAATCAGTTTATAAAAATGAGATTCGGCCAGAAATATGTACAATAGTTACTTACTAGTTCAGGGTTAAAAATAATGGCTTGTCAGTCGCTGACCATAATGATCAGGCAAATTAATCTTAGCTCATTCATACCTCATTTCAGACTCAATATTACTGGTCAAAATAAACGGCAAGGTAAGGATCTTACTGGACAGGTTCCAATACTGGTCAGACATTGTCTGGTGACTGCCTGTTATTTTAGCCTTGTAGCTAGTTATACAATGGTTTCGAGTCACTGTCAAAGCATGGAATATCCCATGGGACACCTGACATGTGTTTTCTAGTATACACTTGAGCTTTTAGGAGAGACTGTGTTTACTAAGAAAATACAAATCACAGAAATGGAATGTTCCACGGTGTGCCACGTGAATTAGAAAGCATCGCATAACTGTTTTGTCCCACACCATTTAAAATAACTAGAAAATTAGTAAAGAAATTTTTAAAAACACAGCAATGGGAAGAAATGGTGGAAGACTGCCTAATATACAAACAGCCTTCTCTCATGATCTTGATTGCCAGTATTTTCAATGGTGAGAGGTGGTGAAGGGGAGGAATTAGTAYGAAGAATCCTTTAATATTCATCATCAGAAGAAAACAGCTGTTTTCCAGATATCTTATCCTTCTTCATAGCAGCAGTATATCTTGCTGTATTCTGCTTGAGAGATTTCACCAAATCTTCCAGGGTTGAAGGGCTTGGCATATTCATAAAGCTTGAACTGTTAGGGCTAAATTGCCCACTTCTTCGTGGGCGCAAGTTGTAGGAATGTGATGGAGTCAAGCTGGAGCGTGACGTCTGGATAGGAACAGACACAAACAGGATAATAAAGTTACAACTGAAATGTTATTATTCAAAGAAAATTGAACTAAGGGGCGGACCATTAGATTTTTGAGTGGGGGGTGGGGGGAAGGGGGGGTGGAAACCAAAACAAAATTTTAAGCATAGCTTTAAAAAGTGAAAAAAAAAGTGCATAAGAAAAGTGCCAGAAAAAAAACAAATTATGGCCAAAAAAATTCCTGCACAGCCATGGGGCTGAAAAATTCCTGCACAAAATAAATTGCCCAACCCCCCCCCCCCCCCCAAATCTAATGGTCTGTCCCTAAAAGCTTCATTTTGGAGGGTTTGAAACACTTGAAAGTTCTGAAAATAATAACCTGAACAAAATAAATCACACTGTTTTGAAAACAGTGGATGATGCCACGGGTCGCCGGTCACAGCATGCATCTAATTAACGTATTTCCATTTCCACTTCAGCTTCTATGTTCTAATTTTCTGAACCCGACAACAATTCTTCAATTGAATGTATACATATCTTAATGAAACCATTTATCAAAAAATAGAAAAATATGCTGACCTGGGACCTAGATCCTGATTGCCTTGGTGTAGAAACCTGTTGTCCAGATTTCCTGCGACTCTTGGTTGGAGTTGAGGTTTCATTTTCAATGCCCTGCTTGACCATGAAGCTGCCATTACTAAAACTCAAGTCTGCAATACTCTCTGAATAAAGGCTTTCATAATCAGAAGATGAGGATGATTCATCATCATTTTCTTGCTGTACATATGTTTCATCATAGCCATCTTCTACTTCCACTATGTCTCCACTATCTGGGTAGTCTGTYGCTTTTTGTGTATTACGATGCTGGGATCCAGCCCTATAAATTAATATACATACGTACACATTAAGGTCCTGTTACATGTTGCAAGTTGTGTGAAAAAGTATTCCGAGAAAATTTTTGCTTGGGTGTTACACAGTGTGCACAATATTTTTGTGAAACCACTATCGTYAGTTATGTTGACGTTGCCTGCTTGCTGGGAATGTTGCCAGCTCTGATTGGATTGTTCACCAGAGCAATTTCTTCCTGAAACTTGTTTGCAACACAAGTTTCGGTTGCATGTGTAGAAAGCAGTTCTAGCTTCAGTGAAATCATGATGAAAGTTTCACAAAGTCAAGGGTGGCACATAGTGCAATTTGTCCTAAAACTTGCTTCATTCGTTGCACACAAGATTCAATTGATAACTGGACCATCTCACTATCAAATGCATTCCAATCTTGAGTGGTAATTTTTTTTCCATGGGAAAATGGCTGTCAAGTTGGGGGAATATTTATTACTTGAGATGGGAATGCACGTCTCTGCCTGTGGTAAATTTGATTGGCAGTAGTCAAAACGCCAAACAGTTGCTTAGGCTGCAGAAACATGAAACMGGCTGTAAATAAAACCTGTGACTCACCAAGACTTTGAAGCAGTTAATGCTGTCATGGGTACTGAAGTACCTTCTGTTATTGATTTAATATTTGAGTCCATAGATTGAAGATATTTGAGGTCCCGGATTTGTTTTTGAATTTCTAGTAACATATTGTGGTTGATTTTGTTGAAGTCTTTGTATTTGTAAGCCACCCATAGAAGACCAACTGATGCAGTTAAAAAAAAAATCTTTCGACACATCCATAAACGAAGATGAACAACTTCCTGAAAGAGAAAATGACAGTAAGATTTTAAAGTCCAATTTGTATATGTAACTGGACAGCTTGAGAAAATATATTACCTTAGTCATGGGCTTATTATTTATAACAGGACTGGGAGAGAAATACCAAACAACCCAGAGAAAACCCTTAAATCAACTGCAAGGCCCAACAAACTTTCCTCACAAATGATCTTGAGTAGAGCAATTGAACTCGAGACCCAATTATAAAAAGCGAAAGACAATTATTATTGCCTTGCACTAGAYACCCTTCATTATACTGTAAAGGTGAATTTTGTTACAGGATGACCAAATGGATGAAAAGAAATAGAATGGTCGATTTAAGGAGAATATATGTAGAGTATGTCATGGTAATGAAGGAGTACTTATAGAATACCCCACCAAAGCAGACTGCTATCCTTTCTAGTCATTTGGCTACACATGATAACCCTAATTCAACCTAAGTTCTCACTCTGAAATATGAGTAACCCTAACCCTAACCCTAACCTTTAGCCCTCTAGCACTGTACAGAGTGTAGGCTAACCATGTAGGCTGCAGCCTTTCAAAAATCATGCACTATCGATGCGCRGTAATAATTCTAGAGTTGTACCATAATGACTACTGAAACTTATTAGAGCAGTTTTTGTAAGACTGTGAATAGCTCAGTAGCATGTGCATGGCCTTGCCTTGACTGTGATGTTTTCTAGAATATTGATTGGCTGATTTTTTTCTTATCAGTGTGATTGGTCTCGCAGTACTGCCATGACCTTAGCTTGGCTGTATCCGTGCCGTGTTAATATAGGTTTTTGGGAATTTGACTGGATGGAGGAAGTTTTTGGACTGGAGCATGCCTTGCTGTGTCACTACCACCTTCATGCTGCAAACTTTTCACTCATACAAAAACTGCTCTAAAATGTGCTATACAGTTGATAATACTACCGTATCCATAGAATCTCCATCCCCAATACTCCTTGAGGTGATAATGCGCTCAACACCAATCAGAGCAACTAATCCAATAAACAATGCAAGTCTAGCATTAGCAGTTCTTGGACTGCTGGTGAAGAAATAACACACACAAATAGCTACAAAATGAAATGCTAGAGATTGCAAAGTGATGAACTCCCCCAAAATCATGGCTTGTAGCTGTTTAATGCTTTCTACACTTTTAAAGATCCCATCAAAAGTGTCTGTAAAAATTGCCCGCTGTTCATTTGCCTTAGTTTTCATCTCATCAAACGCCTGCCTTGCCTCTGAGGTGGACGACTTCAAAGTCATTGATAACTTTTGCTCATGAACAATGATTCGTTTTTGATTTTGTAAAGATTGATTCTGATGCTTCAGGACCAGCAACTGATTCTTTATAGAGTTCTCAAGTTGTCCAGCGACTTCTTCAGATGTTTGTGAAAGTTTAGAAACCGTGTCCTCTGTTCGTTCTTGCCATGCTTGACTTTGCAAGTAAAAGCAGATATTCGTTGTGTGTGTAAAAAAAGTTGTGTACGCATTAAAAGCCAAATCATCCATACCACTTGTACACTCCTCTATGCTCTTATCTCTAGAGCAGTTGTAAGTTCTCTTTCCTGATTTTTTWAAGTGACAGTTCGTAAAAGCAACAGCTAAGTAGCTCTGTTCGATATCTGTCAGCTTCTTGCATCCAACTTCAAGATTTTCAATCGCCTTTTTCCAGCAGTCGCTATGTCTTGCCCTCGTTTGGAAATCCTCAAGCGACTTTTCTCCTGCTTTGTATCGGTCCTCTGAAGGCATCTCAAATGCTGAAGCTATAAGGAAAACCGAAATCAAAAGAATAATAACGAATCTATTTGTAGCCAACATCTTGTCACGTCCGTTCGCTTTTGCGCCGTTTGATTTGAATTTATTTGTATCCGACTGTCTTACGATGACTTTACGATTATACTACGACTTACTACGACTTTATACAAAAATTCTGTGACACTCATTTTTCATTGCTAAAAATTTAATCATCTTTAAAATATATTTTTATGTAAGTTTGGAAGATCATTTTTTTAATATTAATTCAAATTAACAAAAAAAAAAAAGGCAAAAAGATAAGAGGCCGAAGGGGAGCCGAGAGACGCAGTCACGCATTGCATGACGGTCAGTAGTTACAGACGCTTTATAGAAGAATATTTTTAGATCTTTAGATTTTTAGATCTTCGAGTTTATTATCAAATTGATCGCTGTGAGTATGAGGCATAATGGCTTATCCTTATGTTGAGGGCTTAAACACACATAGGTATAAGCACTGGTATCCAAAATTGAGATATTTCGACAGCAGTTGGCGGGCATCAAGATAATACGCTATAACCAAGGAAACCCTGTAGCATCGTCAAGACTYTTCACGGTTGAGTACTGAAGAAAAAAAAATGTCACTAGAAAAATACTCCGTGGAAAAATTAATAGGAAAAGGAAGYTATGGAGAGGTTTTTCTTGCCAAGCACAAGAAGGATAAGAGAATGGTGAGACTGTTCATTATAACGTTGTAAAATTACAATATAGTTTGTTATGAGCTTTAATTTAAGAACAATACATTTGACCTCTGTGCTCGTATTTTTGGTAGAACAACTCAACTTTTCTTAAGAATTTATCAAATATCGCGTATAATTGTATCAATGGTGTTTTTTATTATTTTTAGTATGTAGTGAAGAAAGTAAGTCTTCATAAAGCATCCGARAAAGAGCGAAAAGCTGCAGAACAAGAGGTCAGTTTTTCTACTACGTCATCTCGTCAATACTCTCAAATTTCTACGATCTATTCTTTATTTAATTAACCTTATGTTCCTTAAGTAAAGTACTCATTGGCTGTCATTCCTCTGTAATTATCACACTTGTATATTTGTAGTCATTTGATTCAAATCATTATTGATACTACATGTACATTATATGGGGTGGGGGTGGGGGGGTTTGGTAGAGGTGCAAATCCCCCCGGGGGGTACTCTTGCCCATTTAGAGTAGGGATGTGCCGCTGAGCCCACTGAACCCTGACCCTCTTCCAGAGTAAAATCGGTGAAATTCATATCCTGTTCCAGAGCAAGATCGCTGAAAATCATAACCTGTTCCAGTATTGCAAAAATGGATTCCCTGTTTTAGAGGAGAGAGCGTGATTTCATATACCCTGTCCCAGAGCGAGCGTTATTTTATATACCCTGTCCCAGAGCGAGCGTGATTTTATATACCCTGTCCCAGAGCGAGCGTGATTTCATATACCCTGTCCTAGAGCGAGCGTGATTTTATATACCCTGTTCCAGAGTAGAATCGCTGAAAACCATACCCTGTTTGGCGGCACATACTCGTATAGTGAATATAGGGGATTACCCCCTGGGGCAAATCCTCAACAATGAATGYATCCAAGGTTTAACTAATAGACTGTACTATATATATCCTATACTCAATCATACATGAAAATTGTACAATTTCTGGCTAATTTCTAATTTCTTGTGCCTGTTGCTGCATTTTTGGAGTAAGAAAAAGCATAACCATGATTTAGAACGGCAGTAACTTAAACCAAATTGCAGCTTTTTGTAACTGATTCCTAGCTGGCCATAAAAATTGCTTTGTATAGCAGCTTTCATGATACTATATCAAGTTCATTTTTTATGTTTTCCAATAGGCCAAGCTACTTTCCCAGTTACGTCATCCAAACATAGTATCATACAGAGAGTCCTTTCAAGGCGAACAAGGTTTCTTGTTCATTATAATGAACTATTGTGAAGGGGGTGATCTTTATTCCAAGCTCAAGGCTCAGAAATCAACGCTTCTGGATGAAAAACAGATAGTGGAATGGTTTGTTCAGATTGCAATGGCTTTACAGGTATTACATGTATATTGAAAAATATAAGATTCATTAAACATCTGATAATAGCAACATGGCATGGCATGCCTCTTGTTGTATATAAGCACTTGTTTAATTAACTCTGTTCATGTCCTACTGATTCTTGAATATTTTTGTCAAAGAGACATTTTTACATAACCACTCTCTTGTTGTTGTTGTTGTTCACAGTATATGCATGAGAAACACATTCTTCATCGTGATCTAAAAACACAAAATATTTTCTTGACAAGAAGCAAGATCATAAAGGTATGAAGCCAAAAAGATTCAAAAACTTTTTATTATTAAAATTAGCACAGGCAGTATCAGGGAAAAAAACAATGGCTAGTCAACAGGCAATGTTTTATTGAAATATTATGCTTGACCTTGCTGCCAAATTTCAACACTCTAAGGCTGGTCAGCTTGACTGATCATTGCATGTCTACTAAATACATGTAAACTAAACATAAACTTTTTATCCTTCAAAGCTTGGTGATTTAGGGATTGCAAAAGTCTTAGAGAACTCCTCAGACATGGCAACAACATTGATAGGAACTCCGTACTACATGTCACCAGAATTGTTTTCAAACAGACCATATAATCACAAGGTACGATATGTCTGACATAATATATACCTGTTACCACTCTTTTCATTGCAACATGCTGACCCAGACAACAGTTGCAACAGGGAAATTGGGCAATACATTTCCATCAATCAAATAAATTGGTCAGTACCTTTTTATTCTCTGATTGGCGGCAGTGTATATGGCCTATTTCCCTGTTGTTACTGTTGTCTGGATCAGCACTTAGTGATAGTAAAATGCAATATTATTAATAATTTTAAATTACATGCAAATGATATAAAGATGAGAATATGTACAATTCCGAAGGTCGTGGGTTCGATTCCCAGCGAGGTCGGAAATTAATTAGCTCCGAACTTAATTCCAAGGGCTTTCGCACGGAATAACCTCGTTCCCAAGCACTATAACTTATCTATATTCTATATCGATCTTCATGCAAATGATATATGATATTTTCCAGTCTGATGTGTGGGCTCTTGGTTGCTGTTTGTATGAGATGTGTACTTTGAGGCATGCATTCAATGCTAAGGATATGAGCTCATTAGTTTACAAGATCCTCAAAGGAAAGGTAAGAATAATTAGGAATAAGTGTCTTATATAAAATAAGTTAAATAAATATTTTGGTAATATACTATTTACTAATATACAATATACATGTACGTCTATTATACTAGTTCACTGGCAAGGAAAACATGTAAAGGGCAGTCTGTTATTACAGGATGGTACATGTAGCTGGGATCAAAATTAACTATTCATTGAACAGTAGCACTGGTCAACTCTAGATTTAGTTATTCTATTCTTTTGGTTTTTGTTTACCCTTTCTTTTCTTCTTTGCTGGTTTACTCAGCCCATAGACAGATAGACAAAGGAATTTAGAATTTATGAAGGGGGTCAGAGGAAGGATGAAAATTGCAGAGTTTGTATGGAAGAAAATTAGAATTTCTGGGGGTAGGGGAGGGGTGGCTATTTAAAACAATTCCTTCATGAGGGGGTTATGGATAATTTTTGGAACTAAACATTATGGGATTTTGTTTTTTACTTCCAGATACCTCCCCTGCCAAAGCAGTACAGTGCTGATCTGTGTTCTATAATAAAGAACATGCTAGATCAAGACCCAGATAAACGACCCAGTGTTTCTCGACTCTTAAGACATCCCTACATTAAAAAGCAAATTGCTGCATTCTTGGAAGGAACAAAGAACAGGTTTAATTATTTCTTTCTGTATTTCATTAGATTAACATTTTCATGGCACTCAAAAATACTTGTCCTATAACAAAACTACATGTATTTTTATGTTTTCACTTGGCTAAGGGGTAAATATTAATATAATATTCCCTATTATATAAATGATACATGGCTAGTATGTAATAATACTCTTAATGAAAGTATAGCAAATTGGTTGGTTCCCAGAGCAAGCATAATCCTACAGTATAT